ATTAAATTTTAGGTCAACACTGTCGAGCCCTTTCAATATGGCCGACCATATTTTTGGGCGGCCATAAGAGCTGTGTATTTCTTTACGAGTTTCCATTCTGATTTAATCTATTCTGTGCCGGGTATATCGTTCGCCGGCATTATTATTATCGTGTGTGGATATCCCTCGTGCGACGCCGCTTCAGTGCCGTGATTACGTAATTCGCGCATTACGTAATCCGGTCATTCGCCGTCATCCGGAGCCGCCACCGACAGCCGCCGCTCCCCGTTCACCACCGTGTCATCGCATCGCCGCAGCAGCTGTTCCAGTCGCCGCCGCCGATACACCGCCCTACCGCGGCGCATGTGCCGTCCGGTAATCAAATTATTATTATCGTTATTGCCCTATCAGTTATATTGTTTATTATTGTTTTGAGTTGCGCTCGGGAAAAGACGTTTTCCCGGCCAACATACGCACATTTGTCGTGCCTCCTAATATATTACTTTCTGTTATTTGCGCCGTGTTATAATTATATATATATATTGGTCACCTATCCCGTCCAAAACTGAACACCACTTTCTTTTATTTAAGTAGTTGCCCGGCCAAATGCTAGTGAATAGCCGGCAGCCCAAACATTTGGTAGCAGAGCGTGGTTCATTTATTATTTAATTGTGGTGTTCACGTTTGGATTGGGTTCGTGACAGTTTAGATAGGACCATTGCCCTGTTTTTTATTGTAGTTGAGCGCTGTTAGTTTGAGTGATTGTCCGGGGGGTTACGTGCGCGCACCTTTTGCCAGCATCCTTGCGACCTCGTAACCAGTCGCCATGGCTGCTGACGATGAATTGGAGCGGAATAAGCGCGCGAAGGGTCGTGCATTGGCTAAACGAGACTCGTACGTCGTTCGCATTAAGGCTATCCACACGACCGCTCTATCGGCCAGTGATGATGCGACCAAGGCGCCGCGGTTCCTCGCGGCATCCGCCAAGCTGGATAATTTGTTGACTGGGTTCGAGATTGAGGACAATGCTGTGTTCGAAGCTTATTGTGCTCTCGATTTGTTGGGCGAGTATACGACGGACCTTCTTGTTGAAGTAAACGAGTGGGTTTATGATATCCAGTCTATTGCTGCACGCTATCGTGTTCAACCCGTCGCTGGGGGTGACCCTCACGTGGCACAACCCCGCGTTTTCCGTCGACTACCTGAAATTCCGTTACCACAATTCGACGGCGATATCCATAAGTGGCCCGCATTCCGCGATCAGTTCCTCGCGGTAGTGTCTCAATCTCCGGACATACCCGACATCGAACGGTTTTATCACTTGCGTAGCTGTATTCAGGGAAGTGCCGCCGACGTCATCCGTGGTATATTGGTTTCGGGAGCCACCTTCGCCGTAGCCTGGGCCGCATTGGTATCGCGTTACGACAAGCCGCGTTTAGTCGCGGGATCTTTCGTCGACCAATTATTACAAGTACCTGTGGCGTCCGTGGACAGTTTGTCGGACTTGAATAAATTTATGTCGGTGTTCGGTGAAGGTATTTCAGTCCTTACCGCATTACAGGTCCCGGACTTAGGCGATTTCATTTTATTTTCACTGGCGTCACGGTGCCTTTCGTCGTCGTGTCGCACGTTGTTTGAGTCGGAAACGACAGGTGACTTTCCCACGGTAGATGATTTGTTCACCTTTATCAAAAACCGTATCGCTATACTCGAGCGCGTACAGGGCGCCGCCGGTAAACAGGCCGTGCTCGCGTCCCGTCCTAAGGACCGACCGTCTGCGCCGTCGAAATGGTCACGTAAAATGGATCGACCATCACCGACGTCATTAGTCTCAGCTGTGCAAGTACCGGCGCCGTCGCCGCACACAGTGTCGTGTCAATACTGCAACAAGTCACACGCGCTCGATGTGTGCCGTAAATTTAGTTCACTACCCGCGGATGAACGCACGAAATGGGCGCGTGCTCAAAGCATTTGTTTCTCGTGTCTCAGTCCTGGTCATTGGTCACCTAGTTGTAAGGCGCCCACCAAATGTGCAATTTGTTCACGCCGTCATCATAGTTTGTTGCATCCGACTTTTACGGACGTTGTGCCGTCATCGGAGGCGGAGTCAGCTGCCATCCCCACGTCGCTATTATCCGGGCTCGGGTCGCCGTCCGTCGTGCTTGGCACGGCGTTGGTACATATACGTGATCGTTCTGGGAGTTTCCAAGTGGCCCGCGCGTTGATCGACTCGGCGTCACAAATAAACGCGATTTCACTGCCATGCGCGAAGCGGCTAGGTCTCCGTTGGTCAACTTGGTCGGCACCAATTTCGGGTTTAGCCGGCGTGCCGGTAGTCACGGTACAAGGACGAGTCGATTGTCATGTCGTGCCGCGCTACGCGTCCGATCCAGTTTTCGCGTTCGAGTCATGGGTTCTACCGTCTATAACCGGTGACCTCCCGCGGCATTCGTTGGAACCGTCTGTACGGGATAAGTTTTCGCACTTGGCGTTGGCGGACCCGGATTTCCATATCGCCGCGCCGGTTGATCTATTATTAGTCGCAGACCTGTTTTCATCCATTGTTGACGGGCGTCAGGTTGTTGTGGATAAGTCGTTGCCGGCCGCTTTCAGCTCATGTTTCGGGTGGATCCTTATTGGGTCAGTGTCGCCATCTGATATATCGATCCCGCAACCACCAGCCGTGTCTCTACTCACGTCCGTGGAGCAATTAATCGACCGGTTTTGGCACATCGAAGAGCCCGACGTAGCCCCGTTGAAGTTTACCGACGCCGGCAAATGCGAAGCCGTATTCCGTGATAATGTTGTCCGTGACGAGTCCGGCCGTTTTTCGGTTCCATTGCCGTTTCGTGTGCCGTTGCATGATAATCTATTTCCTGGGTCTCGAGCGGTCGCAGCCAAACGGTTCGATCATCTCGAGCGGAAGCTAAGCTCGAACGATCGAATGCGCACCAAGTATAACGATTTTATGTCGGAATATTTGTCACTCGGACACATGTCAGTGGCGTCCACTCCTGGCCGGTATTTTATTCCGCATCATGCCGTGTGTGGCGCCGATGAAAAATTCCGCGTAGTGTTCGACGCGTCCGCTTCGGTCGCTGATGGATCGTCATTAAACACATCGTTATTTCCGGGTCCAAAGCTACAACAGTACATCGTAGATGTGCTCACACGGTTTCGTGTGTTCCGTCACGCATTTACCACCGATATTTGTAAAATGTACCGACAAATTACGGTCCTTCCACAATACCGTGCGTATCAGCATATTCTATGGCGATCGTCCCCGCACCTGGAGCTCGTCGAATACGAGCTAAATACCGTGACGTATGGCGTAAATTGTGCGCCGTTTCTGGCGCTACGAGTTTTGCAAGAGGTCGCTGAGGTCGACTGCCACGGTTCCGCCCGCGTATGCGACGCGTTGCGTCACCAGACGTATGTGGACGACATTTGTTACGGCGCTGATACTGTGGACGACGCGCTCAGTATTCAAGTAGAGTTAACGGCTGTCCTTAACGGCGCGGGTTTTGAACTGCGAAAATGGGCGAGCAATACCGCCGCGGTCGTGCATGCTGTTCCGGAAGAATTCCGGGTGATTAAATCTACAACGTTTGCCGGTGATGAGGGTGGTGACACGAAGGTACTAGGATTGTCTTGGCATACCGGTGGCGATTATTTCGGATGCGAAGCTCACCTCGACTCAGCCACGGTATTTACCAAACGTGGTATATTGTCACTTACCGCACGTTTCTTCGATCCGTTAGGTTTATTCGCGCCGACAATTTTCCTTGCCAAGCACATTATGCAACGCACCTGGCAGTCCAATTGTACGTGGGATCAACGGTTGCCTACCGAGATTCACTCAGATTGGTCGTGGTTTGTCGACGAATTGCCCGCGCTAGCCTCCGTGCATGTTCCGCGTTATTTCAATACAACCGCTAGAGCTCCGTGTTCGTTGTATGGATTTTGCGACGCGTCGCAACGCGGCTATGCCGCGGTAGTGTTTTTGCGCATCCATGATGCCCCTCGCGCGACGTCAGTTATGTTGGTCGGTTCCAAGACCAAGCTAGCGCCGCTTAAACCGTTATCGATTCCGAGGCTCGAGCTGAATGCCGCAGTGTTATTGTCGCGCTGGATGAGCCGAATATCTTTATTATTAAATACGCACATCGATATCGTTGACATGTGGGCCTGGACGGATTCGTCGATTATATTGTCATGGTTAACTGTGCCCCATGACACATTCAAGCAATATGTATCAAACCGTGTTCACCAGGTACGGACGTTGTTGCCGAGTTGTCAATGGCGCCACGTCAGTTCGGAGATGAACCCGGCGGACTGTGCGTCCCGTGGGTTGATGCCGTCTGAGTTGCCGCACCATCAGTTATATTGGCAGGGTCCCGCCTTTCTCCGTGACCCTCCGCAGGAATGGGGGAGTGACATCGCGCGTTTGCCGGTTGCGGAACTGCCCGAAGTTAGATCTGTGTCACCTGCAGTTTGTTTAGCTGCCCCCACGGTTGAATGGTTCACGCGTTTCTCGTCCTACGACGCACTCATCCGTGTGGTCGCGCGTGTGCGCCGGTTTATCGATATTTGTCGCCGACGTCCAGTCGTGAGATCGAATGCGCTTACTCGAGCCGAGCTCGACAGTGCAACTCGCGCGGTAATCGCTGCGTCTCAACGTGTCACATTTCCGACATTAGTCAGCGACCTGCAAAATTTACACCGTTTAGCATCCAAGCCCCTTTGTCGATTCCGAAGGTATAATCCGCGTCGGTGGACGCTTACGTCATTCAGAGTTGCCGTACGATTGTCGACATCCGATTTTGTTGGCAAAAGGGTCGTACCTCGCGCTGCTGGTATGTCGTCACTGGCACAAAATCACTGGTCACTCGGGACCACGGGTAATGACCTCCTTGATACATCGGCAATATTGGATTGTGTCGCTGCGCTCCGTTATCCATAATGTCATTAGTCAATGCACCCGGTGCGTGCGTCTCCGTGCGTCCGTCCCCACGCCGGTCATGGCGGATCTACCAGAGTCGCAGGTGTTGCAATGTCGTCCGTTTTCTTGCGTCGGTGTTGACTACGCCGGGCCTATACCTATGCGTGACAATAAATTACGAAAATCTAGGACGTACAAAGCGTATATAGCCGTATTCGTGTGTATGAGCGTCAAGGCCATCCATTTGGAATTAGTATCAGATTTGTCCACTCCGGCCTTCCTCGCCGCCTTCGACCGGTTCGTCGCTCGGCGCGGCCTGCCTACGACGGTCTATTCCGACTGTGGAACAAATTTTGTTGGTGCTGACAGACAATTGCGTCAGCTGATTAATAGCCCCGCAGCACAATCTATTATTACGTCGGGGAAGTCCTACTGCGACTGGAAGTTTAATCCCCCCAGTGCACCACATTTTGGTGGGTTGTGGGAGGCAGCAGTACGCTCGTGTAAACGACTGCTCGTACGAATCATGGGTGCGCACGCGTTCACGTACGAAGAATTTACAACCGTATTGTGTCGAGTTGAAGCCGTGCTGAACTCACGCCCCCTCACTCCAGCATCGACCGACCCTCACGACCTCGACTGTCTAACGCCCGGCCATTTTTTGATAGGCCAGCCGCTGTTAGCGCTCCCGCCGCGTACTACTGAGTGTCCGGAACGTCCGCTCACGGACCGTTGGAAGCTGTTGGACCACTGTCACCAGCACTTCTGGCGTCGTTGGTCGACGGAATATTTACATACATTACAAGAAAGAGGAAAGTGGACACGCGACCAACCAAACATTGAAGTCGGACAGATGGTCACCATCAGAGACAGCCTAGCCCCCCCTTTGGAGTGGCGACTTGGGCGGGTGCTCGAGGTGCTACCAGGTGCGGATGGTGTGGTGAGAGTTGTGCGCGTTCTGACCTCGCGCGGTATAGTCACTCGTCCTGCTGCCAAGCTCGTTTTATTACCTGGTAATGGTACAGGTCCCCTTATTTAATTATGTTTAATTGCCATACGGCCTATTGTTTTGTATTTTGTTCAATTATTACTTATTTCATTCCGTTGAATTATTATGTTATCATGTCGAATTATTATTTGCCATGCCTGTTGGTTTTCGTTATTTATTATTGTATTATTTATTCGTGACCCTATTGTCACTTGTCCACGTATTTAGCGTTACCTGTTATTATATTTATTGTGTCCATTCTCACATTTTGAGATAATTGTTATTTTATGATATACTTAATTTGTCTATTTTTTATTTACATTTATATTTTTTTTGCATTCCGGCCCTTTAATATGTATAAACTAGGTCTCAGTATCGGCGGCGTTCAAAGAATGATGTGAAGCTGCGCCTCCCATGGGGGAGTATGTTTGAACTTCCCGCCGCTTCCAGTGCTACATTCGGCAACCGGTCCGCGAGACAGCGCGTCGCGCGGCCCGCAGACACCGGGCTCCGGCCAAGTCGCCGCCGGCGACTAAAAGCTTGTCTTTTTCGTACGCTCGATTTGAGTGGACCGTGCGTGTGTCGCGTCCGGCCGTTGTTCGGTGCCGTTTTGCGACAACTTCGTTTGGTGCGAGTTACCCGCGCATGTTCGCATTGTACATATTATATTATTTCGCTCTACGTATTATTTCGTTGTCGTGCCATCCGACGTAATTGTGTTTTCGACGCCGTTGTCGTCGTTCTCGACGTCGTACCGATTAACGTCGACGGTTGCCCGTTGCGCGACCGATACTCGCCGACGCGTGTTTGCCGCTGATATTCGCGCCCGTATTGTTTGTCAATTCGTGTCGATACATCTTGGTCGTCTGATTCCGACGGGCTCCAGTTCGTACCGGGTATATCGTTCGCCGGCATTATTATTATCGTGTGTGGATATCCCTCGTGCGACGCCGCTTCAGTGCCGTGATTACGTAATTCGCGCATTACGTAATCCGGTCATTCGCCATCATCCGGAGCCGCCGCCGACAGCCGCCGCTCCCCGTTCACCTCCGTGTCATCGCATCGCCGCAGCAGCTGTTCCAGTCGCCGCCGCCGATACACCGCCCTACCGCGGCGCATGTGCCGTCCGGTAATCAAATTATTATTATCGTTATTGCCCTATCAGTTATATTGTTTATTATTGTTTTGAGTTGCGCTCGGGAAAAGACGTTTTCCCGGCCAGCATACGCACATTTGTCGTGCCTCCTAATATATTACTTTCTGTTATTTGCGCCGTGTTATAATTATATATATATATTGGTCACCTATCCCGTCCAAAACTGAACACCACTTTCTTTTATTTAAGTAGTTGCCCGGCCAAATGCTAGTGAATAGCCGTCAGCCCAAACAGTAAGACTTACTTACTTGTTAGGAATGCCTAGTTCTACCAGTGCTTCTCATAGTTTGTCAATTCAGTCATAAGCTTTTTTATAGTCTACAAGATTCTTAATCAAATTTCAGTTTTCAGTTACAGTTCTATATCAAATTTATAACATGTAGCCATTATCTGTCTCAGTGTAACAATATGGTCCAATGTCGATCTACGTTTTCTAAAACCGCTTTGACATTCCCCGACTATTTCAATTATGTATTTTCCGTTTGTGGTTTGATGTTTCATAGAAAAGCATACATTTCCCATAAAATCTTCGATAATTTCTATGTAAATATTGGGATTGCGCCGATGACATCCTAGAGGGCCTGATGAGCGGTTTGATAACGAAGTGTAATTCTTTGACGCACCTGTGGTTTGTTACGACGTGCACGTCGTTGACGTACGTGCGGTTCGCTGACGACGTGCCGTTCTCTGCGTTAACGGGCGGTTCGCTGACGACGTGCGGTTCGCTGACGACGTGCGGTGCGCTGACGACGTGTGGTTCGCTGACGACGTGCGGTTCGCTGACGTAACGTGTGGTTTGCCAACGACGCATGCAAGCCCGGATTAAGGATCGATTGGGCCCCGGGACACCTATACACTTAGTGGGCACCCTTTCAACTTTAAATTAAAAATAATTGTATCATTACATATTAACGAATTTATATTACCGTATAATTTTTTACTATACAACAAATATACAGGGTGTATCATATGTCATTGAACGTGTTTTTTTTTAACAATTATGAATCAATGATATGGAATTTCCTTAAAACAAAAAAAGACGTGTTTCTTTATTTTTAACAAGCAATTTTTTCACAAAATTTTCAACATTTATAAACACGCAGTTGTATCAATAATAAAATCGACTTTATTTTTTCAAATGGTAACCACTAAATTTTTCGATGGATTCTGGTAAAACTTTTTTCTGAATATTTTGACTGTAAAATGATAAATTTTGGTTCGTTAGGTTAGGTTAGACTATGGTTCTTTAAAGTTTAGTTTAATATGCATTAATACTTGTAACTGAAATACCTAATTTATTAAGAGTTAAATATTTTTTTTCTTAGAACTACCTTTTTGTATACTTAAATAGTTAAATCGGTAATCTAAAATGCTCGAAAAAAAAAAAAAAACATATTTGTTGGCAAACATCATAGTTCATTATTTATAGTAACTTTTCGTGGTATAAAACGGAGAACAATTTTATTTTATAATTTTATTATTAATAATAATTTACCTACTATACTTACCTACTTCAATAATTTTTTTTTTTTTTTTGAAAACTGTATTTGACGCCTTAAAAAAAATATATATTGGGGAAACAGATGGGCCCCCAAAACCAATGGGCCCTGAGACCCCCCTTGACCCCCCTCCCATAATCCGGGATTGGACACACGGTGCGCTTCAGCCGACTTCGTGCGGTTCGCTGACGACATGCGGTTCGCTGCGTAACTGGCGGTTCGCTGACGACGTGCGGATCGCTGACGACGTGCCGTTGCGCTCAGGACGTTCGGTTCGCTGACGACGTATGGTGCCTTGACGACGTGTGGTTCGATGACGACGCGCAGTGCGCTAAAGAAGTGTGGTTCATTGACAACCTGTGATTCGAGTGATAATTTATACATTTTCCATTCGAGGCTAGATATTCCCATTAGGTGCTTAATATTTCACACTTTCACAGACAAGCTATTTATTATAAAATCATTCATTTCACACATACAACTTACTGTAAAAGATTTTCTTAAAATGTGGACTATGCCTACCGGGGACACCACAATAAAAAAAACGCGCCACGTATAATACCTCTTGCGTTTAAACAACATGGACGATGTAATGTCTTACGTTTAACAAGCAAATGGTGGTGTGGAAATTTATGCAAATCTTTGTCATCATGAATCGTGTGATACTAATAGTTGCAATAAATAATTGCAGAGACTTATTTCATATATAAAAGTGATCTTAGTTTAAAATAATTTGGATTTAGAGATAATGTGGGATTCTAGGAAGAAATTTCACACTTTTCTAACTTTGTGAAGTGTTAGACAAAGAAAATGGATGATAATTTAGTTGTAGATTTAGATGAAAATTTTTCGCTGTGCATCGTCTCCGTACTATTCAATTTATTTTAATATTATTTAATTTAAGAATTTCGTTACTTTCTCATTTATTCCATATTTGTTTTCCATTTCAGGCTAGATATTTCCTCGAAACAGGTGTTATGCTTATTTTATGATATGTTTCGAACAGTTATTATTTAAAATGGTTGTAGGACACGTTGTACGGTCACCTAGAAAAAATTAAAACCGTGGACAGTTTGTTAGGTACTAGGTAGTAACAACACACAGTATGGAGGACAGTTTGTACTATTTGAGGTACCTAGATATAAGAGTGTATTTTTCAAATGAAAAAAAAAAAGATACAAGTGCGTATATATAGTACTGATATCACATTATCACATAATTTGTTATTACGAAACCCATGTAGTTAACAGACATAAATAATAATAATAACAATAATAATAATAGTTATGATAGTAAATTTGTAGTATCTATACAGCTTCATGAATTTTTAAAAAAATGCACTGTCAATTATAAGTCATACATCATAATATATAAATTTAAAAATTTAAAAATAAAAATAATAATAATAAGAATAAGAATAATAGTTAATAGAATATTTAAAAATTAAAAGTATGGCAAATTATTTCAAGTTGTTGTGTATCTATTTGTAATTATTTTATTTTCGTGCTGTGTACAGGCTTCGTGGATTGTGTTTTGTGTATTTTGGTTTTTTTTCTTATATTTTTGTTTAAATGACTAGCACATTCGTCCAATTGCCCTTCAGGAATCCAAAAGCTGATATACTTTTATAATAAACAATATTCAATTTAAAATATCAATCAATTGTAGTTTTATTAAAACCAAATAATAAGTAATATAGTCGTGGTAAATTGTAGTATCGTGAATTGACTCGTTGTAGTAGCTGATAATCTTCGTGTAGTTTGTGTGTAATGACCGGTGCATAAGCGGCTCGCTCGGTCTCGACGGCTCTGGTACATCTAATGTGTATTGGAGCCCTGGCCTCTATATATACGGAGGCGGAGTCCTTTGAATTGAGCGGCTCGTGGCATGTAGGCGCCCTTGGTAGGTTGTAGTGGTTGGAGCGTCTATTCTAGCTATGACCACTTTTGGGTGCGGTCGACGGGGCCGCCTTTCACATAAGTGGTTCTTGTTATTTTGAGCGTTTACATGAATTGCGTAATCCCATTACAGGATTTAACTTTGTTGTTTGGTTGTGGTTCATATTGTATATTGTACAGAGAGTAGGGGTTGTGTGTGGAGTGTATTGTGTCACTAAACTCATGTCTCATAGGTACTGATTGCGATCACGATTCGCGATTTAAAATTTTGAGCAATTCAATTTTATCTGATCTCCCGACTTTATTGATTCCCGGTTTATTTATATGGTACAAAGTGTCCGCAATTGATTTTTATCAATTTATTTTCACCGTACAAAGTGTCCGCGGTATGCAACTCAAACAATAGATAGTACAAAGTGTCCGTTTACCAATTTTTAAGAACATTTGAAGTTGTTTAAATTTTTTCGATTTGGATTTTTTGCCGTAAATTAAGGATTC